GGGCTTGAACTCTGGGCCTGGGCACTGTCCCTGAGCATCTTTGTGCTTAAGGTCAGCACTCTGCCACTTCACAGCGCCACTTTCAGTTTTCTGGTGGTTCATTGGAGATAAGAGTCTCACGAACTTTCCTGCCTGAGCTGCTTCAAACTGTGGTCCTCAGATTTCAGCCTTCTGAGAAGCTAGGATTACAGGCGTGAGCCACTGGTGTCTAGTTTCCATTATTCTTCAAATAGGGTCTTGCTTTGTGACCAGGCTGGCCTGGAATCCAGTCTTCCTTTTTATTCTTCCAATGTAGCTGGGGTAACAGGGACACATACCTGCAATCAGAATTTCTATTGGTTGAGACTGGGGTGAGGAGGGGTCTCACAAACTTTTTCCTGGACTAGCCTTGAACTGTGAGCCTTCCAATCTCAGCCCCCTAAATAGCTATTGTCTCCCCTCCCTTTATCAATGTGAAGTGACCATCTCTTCTAATTTGATTTGTGGTCTGCTTTGGCAGATATGAGTACAGTTAATTCTGCTTGCTTTCAAGCCCATTTGCTTGGAATATCTGTGGAATGTGTGTGTGTGTGTGTGTGTGTGTGTGTACTGGGGCTTGAACTCAGGGCCTGGGCACTGTCTCTGAGCTTTCTTTTTTCTCAAGGCTAGCACTCTAACACTTGAGCCACAGCTCCACTTGCAACTTTTTGCTGGTTAATTGGAGATAAGAGTCTTACAAACTTTCCTGCCTGGGCTGACTTTGAATTGTGATCCTCAGATCAACCTTCTGAATAGCCAGGATTAGAGGTAAGAGCCACCAAAACTTGGCTTCCATAGTTTCATTTGAAGCCTCTTTGTGCCATTGTGTTTTTTCTTTTTTTGTCAGTAGTGGGGCCTGAACTCTGGGCCTGGGCGCTGTCCCTCAGCTCTTCAGCTCAAGGCTAGCGCTCTACCACTCGAGCCACTGCTCCACTTCCGGCTTTTTCTGCTTATGTGAGGAATCCAAACCAGGGCCTCATGCATGCAAGAGCAAGCACTCTACCACTGAGTCACCTTCCCAGCTCCCATTGTGTTTCTTGTAGATAACAAGCTGTTGGGCCTTTTTTTGTTTTAAATCCAGGCTGCCAGTCTATGTTCTCTGATTGTAGAACTGACACTACTCTCATTCAGAATTATTTAATGGTATGCTATTTTGTTGTTGTTTTAATGTTAGATGCTTTCCTGATCTTTATTTACTTACCTACTTGTCTAGTGAGATTTAATATTTTCTGCATTTTCCTGATTGTGTTTATCTTTCTTCTTCTGTGTAGGATTTTAGTCTCTTCTGCAGGACTGGCTTAGTAGTCCTGCATTTTGTGCAGGACTTTATCTCTCCTTCAGTTACAAAAGATAGCTTTACTATCTGCAGTAATCTAGGTTGGCAGTTACTTTCTTTTAGGTTTGAAAAACATTATTCCACTCCCTTCTTGCTTTTAAACATGAGAGGATTTCAGGTATAGCTCAAGTTGTAGAGTGACTGCCTTGCAAGCATAAAGCTCTGAGTTCAAGCCCAAATAACACCAAAAGGAAAGAAGTTCCTGTTGAAGTACTTGTTCTGACCGGTTGACCTTATATCTCTCTCTTGAAGCTGTCGATATTCTTTGTCTGCATACTTTAATGTTTTATCTATAATATGCCTTGGAGAGATTCTTTCTTTTGCTTGCCTGTTGGGTATCCAACAGACCTGGACGACTATCTGGTAAATTTTTGCCAGTAATTTTATTCCATATATTTTCTTTTTTGGGGGGGGGGGTCCAGTCGTAGGGCCTGAACTCTGGGCCTGGGCGCTGTCCCTCAGCTCTTCAGCTCAAGGCTAGCGCTCTACCACTTGAGCCACAGTGTCACTTCTGGCTTTTTTATTTTTTCTGCTTATGTGGTGCTGAGGAATCGAACCCAGGTCCTCATGCATGCAAGGCAAGAGCTCTACCACTGAGCAACCTTCCCAGCCCTTATTGCATATGTTTTCTATGTCTTTACTTTGCCATCTCTTCTCTTCTCTATGCTTATAATTTATAGGTTTGGTTTTTCAGTGGTGTTTAGAGGTCTTGCGTGTTCCACTAGAACCATTTTAATTCTTTGTCTTCATCAGCAGGATGTTCCAACACATCTACTTTGCCCTCAGCTTTCACCTAAGGATTTTCATTTGATTTGAGTTTTTTCCAGTTACAGAATATCAACTTTTTTTTCAAGATTTCTGCATCTTGGGCTGGGAAGGTGGCTCAGTGGTAGAGTGCTTGCTCTTGCATGCATGAGGCCCTGGATTTGATTCCTCAGCACCACATAAGCAGAAAAAGCTGGAAGTGGCACTGCGGGCTCAAGTGGTAGAGCGCTAGCCTTGAGCTGAAGAGCTGAGGGACAGTGCCCAGGCCGAGTTCAGGCCCCACAGCCAAAAAAAAAAAAAAAAGATTTCTGCATCTTCATTGAATTCCTCTTTCAGACCTTACATAGTCTTTCTTATTTAATTCAGCAGTTAATTTGTAATCTTTTGGAATTTAAGTGTTTTATGTGTAGTTCATGGGGCTTGTCCTACGGTTCTTTTCCACATTTATGCTGTGTCGTGTAGGAAAGTGTGTCTATCAGGAAAGACTTTACAAGGATGTTCCAAGAATCTGGACAGTCTGGGGTCATTTGAACCTTTGGATTTTGCCTGTAACTTCTGGATACTGCTTTCTCTATATCTAACCCCTTGCTTAGACATCATTGGAGAGACCCATTTTACTGTCTTGCTGGCTAGTGTCCCTTATGCTTTGTGTTCTTGTCCATACTGTCCCCTTCAGCTAGACTGACCAGTCTCTGGACCTCTGGGACTCAGCTCTTGTGCCCTAGAAATGTCAAGCAGCATTTGGAGGTCACATGGACAAATAACACAGAACTGCTGGTAATCTGGGCAGCTCTGACTTGCTTTGGGGGCCGAGACCACCTGGGGATTAGATATGCAAACTCAGGATCCATCTCTAACCCAGGAACTTAGCAACTGTGGGACGAAGCCCAGTCAGCTGAGCTGTAACAAGGCCATCCCAGTAGTAACTGAAAAACCACTGTGTAGACAGCAGTGGCACCCGAGGGCAAATCCCTGCTCTGTGAGTTAAGAGAAGTCACTCAACTGCTCAGGCTTGTTTCCTCCTCTATAACACGGTGTGCATGTGCCCTGAGGTTTATATGACTGTTTTCAGGAAAAAGTGCTCAGCACTGGGCCAGGCACGAAGGTGATGAATATTCACTCCAAGACTGGTTGGAAACTGATCTGAGAAATTGCCTGGTCCACAGAAGGTCCCTGGGCGATTCAGTCTGCTCAACCAGTGAACACAAAATACCATGGACAAAGCAATTCATCTACAACCGAAATAATTTATTCATTTATTTACAGCTAAAGTTTATTTTGTAGTTCTAGAAGCTGGGAATTTCCAGATAAAGGAGCCAGCAGCCTGGTGTTGTCCGTTGAGAGCTGTTTGTCATAGATGGTGCTTTCTAGCTGTGTCCTCCCACAGAAGGAAGGCCAAACAAGAACTCTTACCTCCCAGCTAGACCCCCCCATCCTCGACTCAGGGCCCTTCTATCTATTCCCACAAGGTGGTCATGGGCTCAAAGGTTATAGCCCAAGGAAAACCAAGGTTGAGAAGGGCCTGAGAGAGGGGTATGCAGGTGTCTGGGGAATGGATGAGGAGGCACAGACCTACCTGCCTTGGAGAAGGGTTAAGACAGGTAGGCCTAGGGTTGGCTATTACCCTGGAGAACCCTGGACCTGTGAGAAGAGGTAGGAGGAGGAAAGATGGCTTATCATCACAGGATGCCCCGCAGTCTTTCTAATTCGTCATAGAGCTGAGGCCTTCCCTGACCTCCTGCCGATGGGAATGGGGAAACAGCTCATGCACCAGGTTGTACTCGGTCCCTCTCAGCCAGTGGATTGGGTTGGAAGCCTGTTTGTTCTAATGCCCAGTCCTGCCAGAGACATCCCTGTCCTCATGTTTTCTGATTCTCTCCCAAGAGCAAACATTTGAACTAGGGCTACAGAATCTAGCACACAGTAGGTACTCAGTACTTGGTGGCTAAGTGACCACCAGGTGGATACATGTCCAGGAGAGGTAGCTTTATGGCTATACCTGGCTTACTTCCCTCCACCCAACTACTTGTTCTGTGTCCACAGGCAAGTCTCATCCTCCTTTCACCCTGCCTCAGTTTCCCCCAAAACTTAGAAGGGGTGGTCAGGTGTCCACATTCTCCATCTCTGTCCTGATGGGTTGTGAGTCCCTGATACACAGCCCAGCCCCACAGGCTGCCGAGGGAGGCCAGGAGGTGGCTGACCTTCCCGACTGCCCAAGGGCACGGCTGAAGGTGGCAGCTGGGGCTCCCGGCAGCTGCTCAGGAACCTGCTCCTCATCTCTTTCTGCAGCCTAGGGATCATGGAGGTTGAGGCTCATGGTAAGGATTTGTCCTGCTGAGCCAAGTGATGTTACTGGGACAACTGCCTGCCTCATCCGTCGTCAGGGAGGTGTGCGTGCAGGGAGGGCGGGCTTTTGGACAGCCTCACCAGGACAGTGGCCCACTTCATCCCTCTCCCCCCTCTTTAGACAAGTGGGGGCTGCCAAGCCAGGCCTCCCTCCTCCTTGGCTCCTGCCACTGTGTCACTGGGAGGAGGGCTCTGGGTGCACCGGGACCCGGCTGCCCCACAGGGACACTTGGAAGTGAGCTCTCTGCAGACCAGCCAGGCGCAGCGCACAGAAGATGCTCCAGAAATGCGCTCCCAGGACAAATGCTGGGCAGAGTGGCTGCTGGTGTTAGGAGAGGAAGCAGATATCCATCGTGGGAGAGTTCACACTATGGTAGGTGTTGGAGAGAAGCACCCCGAGGGGGTCCTTATCTGATCTGGCAGGGGCACGTGGCCACGGGGCCACGGGCGTGACATCTTGCCGCCTCCAAAGCTGGTAAACGCCTAGGAAGACACGCACCAGTAGGTGCAAGCGCGGGGGCAGATGCAAAGGGACTTTCAGCACAAGATCAAGTGTTTATTGATTTTAGGTACTATACATTTCAAAGAACTCCTACACTGAACAGACTTGATAGCTTTTGGTCGGCGTGTAGCGTAGGATTGAGGCAGACACAGATGCTTCCACTTCCCGAGGGAGACGGGATGCTGGCTGCCAACAGAGGCGGCACGCTACCATCTCAGCTCACAGAGCCAAGGCTCTCCTGTGCTCGGCCCAGAGGACTTTGGGGCAGTTCTGCTCCCTCGTGACCTAGGGTGCGGGGAGAGCCAGTATGTGGGCCAGGCCTGGGTTCTGTGTGTTCTCAAGGAACTGTGGGCTGTGAAGCTGTGACTCCTTCAAAGACACAGGTGTTTCCCAGGGCTCTGCCCTACAACTGGTGCCTACAACAGCCACAAGGAGTAGCCTCCCCGCTGGGAGCCTCCACTTGGCTGAGGCCAAGTCCCAGCTGGGAAGAGGCCCTCTTAGCCAGCCAGGCCCATGCCTGAATGTTGCCATCTTTAAGCAGTTTATAAATGCCATCCACTGCAGAAGTCACTAAATCTCATCTCAGCAGCAGTGAACTCTTTAGATTCTCTGAATATCAAATAATATATACAGATATACACGGAGACATACCAATCTAATATAAAGCATCTTAATCTACAGATGCATCTGCTTGAAAAGTTAGTCTTATTTCTAAACCTTCCAAATCACTGATAAACATTGTTAATTTGCAAAAGAATAAAAAGCTTTAAGCATTCATAGTGTGAAAATAATTTTTAGATGTGGCGGCCCTGGGGAGCACTATCTAAGGTCGCCTCTGCAGCCCACATTCACCCGGGAAACCTCACAGAGGCATGCCCGCCTCGCATCACCTGACAGCCAGTCGCCTGGGAGTGGAGCTAGTGCGCCCTGGAGCACAGCCAGTCAGCCTGGGCCCTGGTTTACATGTGCGTGAGTGGAAGAGCAGGCATATAGAAAGCATAACTGTACATTGCCATTAAATTAAAAACCTCAACATCTTTACTCAGAAAATGGCATGAGGTTTGTTCACTTAAGTTGCATATGGAGCTCTTCAGAGAAAAGAATCAGTGGAAAAAGAATCAGTGTAACCACCATTGACTCGGAGGCGAGGCAGGTGAAGACACAGCTCCATGATCCACAGAGCTAGCAGGGCCGTGAGGCCCGGCTCTTGCGGCGGGCTGCGTCCTCCCGTCCTCCCGTCCCTAGACCTCCCTAGATGCACTGGGAAGGGGAGGAGTCCCAAGGGAGATGACCAGCTCGTCTGCCTTCAGGGGACACCAGGAAGCCAAGAACGACAGGCCACCATCCTGCAGGTGGTGCGGACATCCACAGGGCTGCTGGAGGCACCGAGGGTTGCTGCCTGGGCCGAGGCTAACGGAGCTCCTGGATCGGCCACTTCCATCTCTCCGCCAGCCCGCCCAGGGCTCGTCACTGGATAGCCTCCACATAGTTGGCAGGGTACAGGCCAACCTGCCCGCTGTCCAAGCGTCCCTTGCACCAGCCCTGCTCATCCTCATCTTCTATCTTGGTCAGCTCATCCCCTGCAAGGCAACAAGGAATGGCCTTTGGTGACGCTGAGCACAGGGCCAGAGCCACCCACCCACCTGAGCCCCTCAGGGAACGTGCTCTGGGCCCACCCAGGCTCTCTGTCCAAGGAAGAGGGGCAAGGACGTGGCTCCTTTGCTACCAAACTGCATTTAAAGCTGCTTTGTTCCAGATCTAAAGATGATGGCTCTCACGCATGGCAGGCCCATGGAAGCAAGCTGCTCTCCACACAACACAGACACTGCGGGGTTGGATTCCACAGGCCAAAGGTCCCTCCCCATCAGGTCCGAGGAATCCTGTCCCAGGCCTGGGCCCCAGCCACCCCGCTCTGCCTTGTTGCCATGGTCTCTGTGCCATTTTAAATCCCCTCCCCATCAGACCCCTGGCTGGAGGTGTAACTACTTTTTGCTAAGTACTGATGGGTCCATGAATTATAGAAAAATAAAAGCAGGAACTCCAAACCACTACTTTGCTGCCCCTCAGACAGGAATGCCCCCACTGCTTTGAGCGCCAGTCCTGGGCCTTGAACTCAGGCCCTGGGTGCGGCTCTGAGTTTTTGTGCTCAAGGCTGGTGCTCTACCATTTGAGTCACAGCTCCATTTCTAGCTTTTTGGTGGCTGATTGGAGATAAGAGTCTCACAGACTTTCCTGCCCAAGCTGGCTTTGAACCATGGTCCTCAGATCCCAGCCTCTTGGCTGGCTAGGATTACAGGAGTAAGCCACGGGCTCCCAGCAAATTGCCTCCTCCTTATCATCCAGTGACAGAAGGTGAAACTGCTCTATAGGAAGTGAACACCTAGAGGCTCAGGGCAGACACTTGCCAGACAAGTGGCTTGCTCACTTGTCCGTTCCAGTACTAAGAGTATGGCCAGCCTGCTGCACCAGCAGCTGGGGCACAGCGCTTTCCCCATCCCCTGTTCTCTACTTAAACATGTCGTTCATGTCTGTGCCCTGAAGATGGTGAAGACAGATGAAGCACTGCCTGTGCCATGTAATGCATTTCCTTTCTCTGTCCTTCACCCCGTCTCTATGTGGCCTATAAGGGTGACTGGCCAAGGCAGGCACTGATGGCTCACGCCTGTAATCCTAGCTACTCAGGAGGCTGAGATCAGAGGATCGTGGTTCAAAGCCAGCCTGGGCAGGAAAGTCTGTGAGACACTTATCTCCAATAAACCACCGAAAACCAGAAATGGTGCTGTGGTTCAAATGGTAGAGCACTATCCTTGAGCTGAAGAGCTAAGGGACAGCGCCCAGGCCCAGAGTTCAAGCCCCTGACTGACAAAAAAAAAAAAAGGTGACAGGCCAGACCCAGTGTGTGGAAGTGGAGGCTGGAGTCTTAAAAACCTCTGGCTTCAGGGGAGGGGCGGAGATCATGTCTGAGCAGACTCATGATTCTATCCCTGGCACCTAGTTGTACGAGATGACTTGCCAGTCACCCCTTCTCAACACACTATGCAGAGAGCCAGGGCACCAATCTCCTGCAGCTCTGCTTCTGTGGCTTTATCTATCTTTTTTTGCTCCAGCTTGAAGGAATGCCTGCTTCAGCCCAGTCTTCGGTGAAGGTAGACAGAGATGAGAGGAACAGATGGAGCCTCATCCAGGGAGGACCCGGGAACGAGAGAAAATGTGTGACGTGGATGGTGACAGGAGGTAGCGCTGCGGTAGATGAGGCAGGTGAGGCGCCCGTGCGCTGCTGGCCGGGGCTCGGTGCAGACATGGCTATGAGAAGCAGCTGCCCCAGAGCTCACAGGAGCAAGCAAGAGGAAGGGTCACAGCCCCAGGTGTGGTTTCCGTTAGCTTTGTATTTCTAGCTAGCACTTCGGTAGATCATACAGAACGAGGTGCAAGCAGGGCGCCAGTGGCTCACGCCTGTAATCCTAGCTACTCAGGAGGCTGAGATCTAAGGATCGTGGTTCAAAGCCTGCCTGGGCAAAAACTTCCCTGAGATTTCTTTTTTTGTTTTGTCGGTCATGGGCCTGGGCGCTGTCCCTCAGCTCTTCAGCTCAAGGCTAGTGCTCTACCACTTGAGCCACAGTGCCACTTTGGCTTTTTCTGCTTATGTGGTGCTGAGGAATTGAACCCAGGGCCTCATGCATGCAAGGCAAGCACTCGATCACTGAGCCACCTTCCCAGCCCCATTTTTGAGACTCTTATCTACAATTAACTACCAGAAAAACTAGAAGTGGCACTGTTGCTCAAGTGGTAACACACTCACTTTGAGCTGAAGAGCGCAGGAACAGTGCCCAGGCCCAGAGTTCAAGTCCCACAACCGCCCCCCCCCCCAAAAAAAAGAATGAGATGCAAATATCTTAAAGCAATTATGCCATACTTCCTTAATATTTCCCAAGGAGGGGCAAGGCACAGGAAGGAGCTGCTGTCCACCCGGGCCTGTGGGCCCTCCTGAGGCTTTACGCCTCAGTCAGGCATAAAGCAGTGTTTTCTAAGCCCAGGGCCTGCAGCTCCTTGTGCTAAACTGTACAGAACATTTTTTTTTTTTTTTGTCAGTTGTGGGGCTTGAACTCTGGGCCTGAGCGCTGTCCCTGAGCTTCAGCTCAAGCACTCTACCTCTTGAGCCACAGCACCACTTCCATTTTCTGGTGATTAATTGGAGATAAGAGTGTCATGGACTTTCCTCCCCAGGCTGGCTTTGAACTGCGATCTTCAGATCTCAGCCTCCTGAGTAGCTAGGATGACAGGCATGAGCCACCAGCACCCGTCTGCGCACAACGTTTTAAAGAGAGACAGATAGAAAATCTGCACACATACTGAGGATCCAGACCACTCTGCACACCAGGGCTCCAGCCACGGGACGCGGGTGGAGGTGAGGCATGCAGGACTGGTGAGTGTCTGGCAGGGGCTGCCGTGTGAGACAAGATCACGTGTATGGAGTGGCAGCTTTCCTGGGGCTCCTGATTAGTGGGGCTGCGGAAAGGCACACAGGCTGCTCTCATGTGGTGTTCCTACCCCGCGGTGTGCCTCGCCGCCCTCATGGGTATGGATGGCCATTGCCCCGCTGAACCCAGCGTGCAGGGCGCAGGGTACCTCATGGCTGCATTTTGGCACTGAGCTCCTGCTACTGGTGAAGTTGGTAAGCGGTGCAGGGAGCGTCTACGTGAGGAACCAGAAGGGGCTCTATCAGCCCTGAGAGAAAGCCAGAAGCCCCAGGACAAGAGCCCACGTTCTTGGGGGGCTGGCTGGGGAGCTACCTACCAGCCTTGAAACTCAGCTCGTCATGCTCCTGGCCCTCGTAGTCATACAGAGCCCGGACCCGCACTTCGGTGCCCGAGGTGGCGTCCTCGTCAAACGGATTCGAGTCCCCATTGGCATCCGTGGAGGAGAAGGGGTTGTTTGACTCGTCATCAGACCAGTCGGTGGGGTAGCTCTGGGTCTTCTCATAACTGCTCACACTGCAACGAAGACACGGACACGGGACCTCAGCAAGGGGCTGCAGAGAGGCCACAAGGCCCCTGCCCAGAACCCCGCCCCAGGAGGGGCCAGGGCAGGAGTCCTAAGGCCCCTGAGGAAGCGTAGCTCCCTGGCACAACAGCAGGGTGGAGCCAGGTCCCTGCAGGTGTTTGTGCCAGTCACACGCGTCCTCAGCTCCCAATGAAGGCCAGGAGAACTGGGGACACCTGCAGAGGCAAACTTGTACCCACGCTCGCAGGCCACCTGCACAGGCTGCCTGTTGTCTGTCTTCCCATGGTGCGCTGGTGCCTGGGCCTTGAAGGGTTAACGCAAGACAGAGAAAAAGCAACCAAAGCGTGTTAGCTGTGCCCTCCCACAGAGGTGGAGGAGCGAGGAAGTGTCCACAGCGGGCAGCGGACACCCGCCTCCGGCAGGCCACATGCATTGCTGGAGTGCCGAGGAGGGAGACCCGCAGACAGACCCCTGGGTAGAGAGAGAGGAAACAGAGCAAGCAAGGCGAAGCCAGAGGGAAGCGTGTGTTCACCAACTTTTTGGGCTTAATGTCCTCCTTCTCACTGACGGTGCTGCCCGTGTCGTCCTCGTCCTCGAAGGGGTTGTAGCTGGACTGTGACTGCGCGAGCTGGGCAGGGTTGCTCGGGACACTAAGGGTGCTACGGGGGGAGAGAGAGAGCGTTCAGGGACCCCGGCTGCGGGGTCACAGCAGCCTAGGATGTGACGGGAGGAGCTGTGAGAACGGAAGGCTAGGTCAGCAAAACAGGCGGCAGCCGTGTCCACCACGCTCACGCGTGCGGAGCGGGTAGGAGCCCATGTTCCTTTCTTCACTCTGGAGGGTCAGCGTGGCCCACAGCTGGCACACAAGAGCTTCTCTGCAGCCCTTCCCAGCCCTCCTTCACACGTGGGTTGGAGCAGACAAGGCAGAGAGGGTGGTGCGGGCTTCCTGCGGAGGTGGGAGGCTGCCCAGCTCCCCAGACTGTTGGCGTAGGTCCCCTCTCCTCCCAGAGCAGCACCCTCCAAAATCAGGCCTGAGCTTGCTGCACAACCATTTCCAGAGAGGAAAAGGGGCACTTAATATTCCGGAGTTTATCATCCTTGCAACTTCACCTGCTGCCTATGTGCCAGGCGGGTGGAGATGGGAGGGGCTGGAGCCAGGGGGAGCATGGAGGAACTGCTGAGCACAATAGGGAGGCCAACACAAGACAGACTGGAAAGTAACTCTCTGGCTGGCGCACCTGGTCCCTCAGCCAGGGCGACCCCACTGCCATGTCCAGAGGCTGGACAGCAGATACACTAAGCCTGAAGAGATGCTTCTGGCCAACCTGGCAGCTCACACCGCCCCTCCCCCGCACCAGGATCTCCTGTGAGGCTGTGTCCCTTTCCCCAGCAGCTAGCCTGATCCAAATTCTGGTGCTCATGGCTGACCACCCTGCCTAGACCATGTGCGTAGAGCTAAGCGATGCCTAGTGGCCTGTGCTTGAGTGTGGTGCTCAGGCCACTGGCAGGCCAGGAACCTGCCCAGCCATCGGGAAGCCCCAGGCACAAGGTGACGGTGACCCCTGCGCAGCAGAGGTGCAGCAGAGGCACCTGGCAGGTCCTGTAGGAAGGCCTCCTAGAGCACACACTTACCAGAAGGTTCTGATGACTACAGCTCATGTTTAGACAAAGTCAGAAAATGGGGAGCGGGGGTGACTTGAAAAGGAACAGTCCTCTTGCCAGTCCTCTCTTGGTCCCTGACTAGCCTGCACACAGCAGGGAGCAAGGCTCCAACCGGGACAGTGCTAACCCACCAAGAGGGCACCACGTCTGGCACACCGCCACCTGCCGTGCCCACGCAGGGCAGCCCTACTGGGGTGGTGAATAGTTAGCGTCAACACCAGCCATTTATTCTCTAAAGACTGGGTCAGATACAAGCTCAGGGCAAGGCTCTGTCTTAGACCTTTCAGGAACTCTTATCAGGTATAAACATCATCATGAGTGATGGCCCTTGGGGCACAGCCCAGAACACCAAGGCCCAGGGAGCTTCTGAGAAGATGTCCTGGTGTGTGTGGGGGGAGGGGAGTGGACGGGACGCGGGGTTGTCCTTGTCCCACAGCCAACTCCCAGGAATCAGGCTGCTGCCATCCCAGGACCATGCAAATCCCCCTCCCCGCCCCACTGGGTGGCCGGTTTTTGGATTCGGCTATGCTGGGGCTCACCTGCCGCTCTTGTTCTGCATAGACTGGTCACCAGTCTGGTTGATGCCTGTCAGGGTGACACCATCAGAGGCTTTCTTTTTCTCTCTCCGGCTGAGGGTTCGATTCAGGTCTGCAGACCATTCCTGGGCAACAGGGACCAAGGGAGAAGCGAGGGGGATAAGTGGAAGCCGTGGTGGTCTAACACTCCCTCTCCCCCCGCCCACCCCCCAGCCAGCAGAACCTGCCTGGTGCAGGGAGTGACATTTAGCCTATGCCCTCTGCCCTCCTCTGCTTCCCAGCAGACCTCAGGCTGCCCAGAGGGCCTGACCCTCTGCCTCGCTTTTCAGAGGCCAGGAGGTGGGCTGGGCCCTCACGGTGACATTCCCGCTTCCTCAGGTAGCGCACTCCGGGCCTGGAAGCTCCCAGCCCTCTCAGCTCTAGCGCACCCTGCTCGCATGAGCTCCAGGGCCCTTCCAGAGAGACAGGAGCCCGTCCTCCGGGAGCCTGGCAGGGCACATGGCTCTGTCTGGAAGTGTAGAGAGCCTGGCCATTTATTCTCTAAATTCTGGGTCACCGGGTCACCGACCACAGCTGCCTGCAGGGATACGAACAAGCCGTGACACAAGATACTGCACCCTCGATTGCAAATGAATCTGGGGATACGTGGCCAAGTCAAAGAAGCAGAAGGCCGGCTGGGGCCCTCAAGTCTTGAAGAGCCCCGTTCTGATGCATACACAACCCTGGACCCTTCCCCTCTTCATCAGACACACAAGCTGGGGCTAGCCATGCAAAGGGGCTCATCTTCCCAGGGCTTCCTATTCCCAGCAAACAACAGGCTTTGTCAGTTGCGCTGAAACACACAGGGTGAAAGGGAGCTAGGTCTTGATTTTTCAGAAAAGTCCATGTGCATGTACATATTTAATGGATTCTCCTTTTTTCCCACTAATCAAATAATTACAATTAAAACCCAGCTTGAGGGCGGTGCTTGCTTAGTATGCGCAAGGTCCTGGGTTTGATCCCCAGAGCTGGGGGTGGGGTGGGAGGAGGAGACACACCTGTGTGGCTGAGGCCACAGCTTTGCTCCAATTTAGTTACAGAAAAGCAAGCTGAGAAGCCATCTTGGAGACAGCAAGCCTAAGCTTTCAGTTTGTCACACAAGGAAACTGAGGCCCAGAAAGAAAAGGCCTGGCGTATAACAGCATGGGTGGCAGACCTGGGCCCCTGACTCCTACCTAAAGTTGTCTTGTCCTTTTTAGATATTTTTTGGGGGGGCGGGGGGCAATACTAGGCTTTGAAGTCATGGCATTATACTTGCGATGAACCATGCCCTTAGCCCTTTTTTGCGCTGATCATCTTGATAAGTCTTGCCTTTCATCCAGATGAGTGCTTGGACCAAGATCCTTCTATTTTATGCTTTCTGGCGTAGCTGGGATGACAGAGGTTTACCACTACTACAACTATTGGTCTCATAAAGCTGTGAGCTGGTGGCTCATGCCTGTAATCCTGGCTACTCAGGAGGCTAAGGTCTGAGGATTGTGGTTTGAAGCCAGCTTGGGTATGAAAGTCTGAGAGACACTTACCTCCACTATACCAAAAAAAAAAAAAAAAAAGCCAGAAGTAGAGCTGTAGCTCAAGTAGTAGAGTGCTAGTCTTGAGCAAAAGCAGCTCAGGGACAGTGCCCAGGCCCTGAGTTCAAGTCCCAGGACTGGCACCGAAAGAAGCCGGGGTTGGGAAGGGGTGGGAGTGGCTAGACAAGAGCTGAAATCTTCCTGGACTCGACTTCTAAACAGGATTATAGACACGAGCCACTGCCCCTGGCTTCCTCTTCCTTAGTGGTGACCCTTCTTATAGAAATAAGCAGACTGAGAGAACTGTTCCCCACCTATGTCCCCCTAGTGACTTCTGAACATAAATCAACCCTGGCAGGGTAGGTTCCAAGGACCAATGCAGCAGCCCTGGAGGGCGGGCCAGGTGTTTGCAGCCCTGACACAGCTGTGTCAGCTGCTCAGCTGGAGAGGTGGGAGCACTGTACAACATGGCCGCGTGGCCTGCTCACACGTGGGAGGGGCTTGGCGATCTGCGAGTTAAATCATGAAACAGAAACTTACTTCATCCTTGTTGCATGGAAAATAAAAACAAATAATTTCATTAGAGAAAGTTAGGCATGGGCCTGTAACAACCGTGAATGTGTGCCCCAGGAACACAAGGGACCCAGAAGGTACTCCTCCCTGTATTTTCCTGATGGGCAGTAACTGGCACCTCTGAAGGACACGGGGCAATTTCACACAGAGTGTCCCAGGCCACTGTGGCAGAGAGCACCGCTGAGAGTGGCAGCCACGGCAGCACCAGGAGAGGAGAAGCTGGCTCTCCCCTGGGTCCACTGGCTTGGGAAGGTGCGGGTTCCTCGCATCTCCCAGGACCCGTGATAGGGGCTCGGCCGGCTCTGCAGCCTCCGCGTGTGCGCATGCGGGGAAGTGCAGGGAAGCACAGCTGTAGGCCCTTAGAGGGACTTGTGTGAAAGTGCACAACACAGAAGGTGGGAAGGAGCTGAGGAGCTGTGGGAGCCTCGGCCAGTGCCAGTGACCACCACAGACCAGTTCGCTGACCCCAGTGAAAACCCCGGGCTGCCATTCCCATCTCACACAGGGGAAGGCGGAGTCACACCGGGCATGTGGTTGCTCACTTCCCACAGTGCTCACAGCTGAGGCAGGACTCAGATGCAATCAAGGCTGGCCGCTACTGCGTCCAGATATGCAGCTTCCCGCTGGTCACTGGCCCCAGCCCCTTGGGAGTAGGGGATTATCACCACATGCTCAGTCCACTAGGGAATGGGAGAATCTCTCCTTCAGGGAACAAGAGTGGCAAGACTTCCAGCCACTCCCTTCTATGCTACTGGGAGGGACAGTGACCCAATCCTGGGCTGGACACGCCCCAAGATCCCCACACCTCTGAGTTCTGTAAAGTAGACATTGTAAGGTAGACCTCTTACTGACTGGGGTTGGGGAAGCACCTGCAGAAGTGGGAGCAGAACTGTCCACTGTCGCCACCCCCTCTACTGATCTACCCTGGGGTCTGGGGCACTGAGGGGCTGCTCCCTTCCCAGCCACCCTACAGAACAGGGCAAGTTCCTGGGACATCAGGGAGGGAGTGCCACTGGTCACTAAATGACAGACAGTGTTCCTAACTAGAAAGATAACACTCAAGCCTTCTCTGGAGATTCAGAAGGTAACGCCTGGCCTGCAGATGCTACCATACTGTCACTATGCACACACTGCCTGGTAAGCAGGGGAAATGCCAACATGCACATGAAATGAGCAAGTGTCGTCTAGAGCAGCTTGGTGGGTCCACGGGGTCACAGGCACATGGCCTCTTACCTCAAACTGAGGCCAGTTCATGGCCATGCCTGGTCCGTGATTGGCTCGGAACCACCTCAGGTCCTCCACAGCATCGGCCGCTTTGATGCTCTGCTCCAGGTCACGGTAAATGGTTTTGTAGCTGAAGCAGACACAGAAGGCAGCGGCCAGTCACCACCTGGCCCAGCCCAGTGCCAGGCACACACCCACACCAGGGCCCAATTCCAGAAACACCTTCTCCTGCTCAGGGGAAGATCTCCTGGCTGTGACAGGGCAGAGGGGGACATCTACCTGCCACAATTTGGCATCTGGCAAAAGGGCTCTGATTTTTTTTTTTTTTCTGACAGTCATGGGGCTTGAACTCAGGGCCTGGGTGCTGTCCCTGAACTTTTTCACTCAAGGTCAGCATTCTATTACTTTGAGCCATAGCACCGTTTCCAGAGCTTAAATCTTGAAAGATGGCAGCACTGAGCTGTGCCCCACATTAGATCATAGGAACTGGCCATGTGAGCTGCCAGGTCGGTCCTACTGAGTCAGATGGAGGGGCGGAGGAGGCCACTGGAGAGTTCCAGAAAGCACTCTCCCATCTCCAGTTGTCCTGAGGAAAGTTGGAGGTTTAGGAGCCAATGTGCAAAGGCATCCTGTGAAGACCATGAGAGCTGCAGACTTAGTGGCAGAACCCCGGGCCTCCACAGAGCCTTCACTTGGAGCATCCACCCAGCTTCTCCTCCCAGCCCCTGGATTCCTGTGGGACCTGATACTTGCACTCAGGATCTGTATGGCTGGAGGTCATTTGCCTTCTCTGGGCCACCGTTTCCTCCTGCTCAAGGGGGCATAACACCTGTTAAGGGCTGAATTGTGTCCTTCAAAAAAGATACGCTGCTGTCCTCACTGTAGAACCTCTGAATGTGACCTTATTTGAAATTGGGGTCTTTTTTTTTTTTCCGGTGGGAAAGGGGACAGAGCTCTCATATATGCTAGGCAAATACTCTACCACTGAATTACATTCCAGCCCTGACAACAGGGTCTTTTTTTTTGGGGGGGGGGGTCTGGGCATGGGGCCTGAACGCTGGACCTGGGTGCTGTCCCTCAGCTCTTCAGCTCAAGGCTAGCGCTCTACCACTTGAGCCACAGCGCCACTAACGGCTTTTTTCTTTTTGCTTATGTGGTGCTGAGGAATCGAACCCAGGGCCTCATGCATGTAAGGCAAGAGCTCTACCACTGAGCCACCTTCCCAGCCCTGACAACAGGGTCTTTAGACAGGTGATCAAGTTAAATGAGAATACTAGGTAATCCAATGCCCTCATCAAAAGAAGCAGTCTGGACTACATACACACGCAGAGGGAAGACGGAGTGAAGACAGGAGAGAGATGGCCAGGGGCTTTGACTAAGCTGGCCATAGTGGAGGAAGTGGACGGGGGACAGCAGGGCAGGTGTCAGCAGCCGTCAGAGGCAGGAAGATCTGCTCTGGAACTTTCAGAGGGAATGCAGCCCATCCCTCTCCGTAGTTATGGACAGCCAGCCCACAGAACGGTGAGATATTAGATTTCTGTTTTGAGCTCTACAGATTGTGGTACTGTTTATGGCATCCCCAGGAAGGAGCTGTGTTCCTGATCCCTTGATAGTGGGTAGGGTGGTAAGATGAAGGGAAACCCTGGGAGACAAACTATGCTCACTTCAGCCTGAGCTCCTGGAGGCCGGTTACTTGTACTGCAGGAGTTATTGCACATTCCGAAGAATGGGACACCGGTCCCGCCCTGCTCCCTGTTCATTGTGTGGCTACCAACAGCTCATTTAACCTCACCCAACCTCAGAACTGATGGGGGACTACCATACTATGCTACCATACTATGCAGCCATACAATAACTGAATGGTGGCAGAGTAATAATGACTGCTTTTATTTCTTTAATAAAGAGAAGACAAAGGGACTGTAATTTCCTATGAGCAACAAGCCTTGATCTGCACTGCTCTCAATGGTTTTGTGAGCTAGATGAAAAAGGAGATGTCTGCCTACACCCTGAGTCGAGCTGCACCTCTGGCCTGATGCAGGCACACTGGGCCCATGGAGGAAGAGACCACACAAGAAATGCCACGGCTCCCATATCACAAGTCAGAACTGTGCTTCAGAGGATCCCGAGCACCTAGAGCCACTTAGAAGGGCAGCAAGGACGAGAAGGACCTTGTAAAAGCCTCACCAGAAGGCAACCCTGGGGCAGGGCACACCAAAAGGTAGATTTCCCATACAGTAGGTGCAGGTGGTTCTGGATATGGGGCCAGAATGCACAGCCCTCCCTGCCCTCCAGACCCACATGCAGAGCTGGGAGCAGAGCCCCAGCAGGGACACCGCACTGCGGGCTGTGAGGCCAGGCGCAGCACAAGGCCCCCTGGCCCCAGTTCTCTGTGAGAGGCCCTCTGGCTAGCTCCACCACACCATGGCTGCTGTTTAACAACTGGATGTGTTTGTTACCTCAAAGGACACTCACCCAGCCACATTGGACAGGTCCAGGTGTTTCTGAACCTCAAGCAGAACCTCCCGGAAGAAACGCAGGCGCTTTTCTTCGAACTGCTGGCACTGCTCGAACACCTGCTCCATGTTCTCCATGTATTGGGGGGTGCTCTGGTCAAGTTCCTTCAGGGCCTTCTCATATTTCTCTTTGGTCTAAACGAAAAGCCATGTATGAGACCAGTTCATTTCCATGTTACACTGTTCACTCTGCATACTGGAGTTTCTCAGGCCTCCCTGGGTTATAAACTCAAAGAGCAGGAGCCCTGGGGACAGACAGATTTCAAGTTGAAGTCGCAGTCTCCACTGCTCTGAGGCGAAGCGCACTCCTGACACTGCTCTGCTGTGCTGTGCTGCAGAGGGAGAGAGGAGAGAGGAGGGAGAGAGGGGGGCGGGCCAGTCGCCGTGGAGCAGTGTGCATGGCTGTGAGCATGTCAGCTACCCATATCCCTCTGCCTGTGGGAAAGCGCCAACCCAGAGACCTGGCCCAGGCCCCCAGCAGCACAATGAGTCATCTTGGAAACAAGGTCAGAGCTTAAGTGCCAGGCAAAGAGGGGACCACATTTCTTGGTCTCCTCATTTTCTCGGGTCTTCAGTGAACAGAAAGTGGGGGTGCCTCCGGTTTCACTGCGTTCTGAGATTTAGATGCCAGGCACAGAGGCTCATGGATAGACATTCCGAGTCCTTGTGGTTTATCCCTTGGCCTGCAGCCACTCTGCCCCCTGGCACTGCCATTCCTTTCATAGGAAATACTAGTGTGGCTCCTCTTAAAGTGTCTAGGGACAGACAGCACATGGGTGAGATTCATGTGTGCGCCTGGCAGGGAGGTGTTTGGAGTAGGTGGCCAGGTCCGCGTGGGCCTGCGCCTCACAGCCACTGAGCCATGCAGCAATAGTGGCATGACCTCTGAACTGTCCCATGTTAAAAGCTTGATTGCCAGGGATGGGCTTTGGAGAAGCATCTGGATCACAAGGGTTCCAACTACCTCAGCGCATCAATCCATTGTGCTGGTTCTCTGGATAGTGGGTCCGCAGGGGGAGGGAAGCTCCCTGCCACACAGACTATGCAGGAGGGAGGGGCACGGGCAGGACAGGAGAGGAGGATACAGACAGGGATGGGAGAGAGGAGCATAGGAGACAGGGTCACAGGTGGGATCTCTGCTCTCCTGTTTCTGGGCAGTATGTAATAAAACCTCTTTGACCTTGGCCTCATTCACAAAGCAGAGTGGCTACCACGTAAATCACAGGGGTGTGGGGAAGCTCATCAGAGGCCTGAAAAGGTTGGTGGCAGCTATGAATTTGCTCCTTGACCTGTACATGGAGGACAGGCCACTTGCTGCCAGACCACAGAGGCAGGAAGCAAGGCCTCCTCCATCTATCACTCTAGGAATGGGGGGCAGAAGACAACCCTAGGAAATTATTTTATTTTGGATGGTACTGGGGATTGAATTCAGAGCGTCAGGTTCATTAGGCAGGCACTCTACCACCTGAGCCACGCCTCCTCCAGCCCCTTGTTATTTTTGAGGTCCGGTCTTGCTCTATGCTCCCGCTGGTCTGGGCTGCAATCCTCCTACCTGTGATTCCACATAGCTGGAATCACAAGCACACGCACCCTGCCATACGCTGAGACTTTTATGCGCTGGCTGGCCTTGAAACTCAATCCCTCTATCTCTGTCTGCAGCCCTCTCTCCACACTGATAAACCGATGTGAGCCTCCCCTTCCCACATGTGTCCTCTGCTTCTGGAACTCCAGTTCTTCCTCAGCAGCATTCCAAGTTCCACCTGGCTATGAAAGCCAATAGCAACATGGTACTTATACATCGACCATGCTCAGTTCCACCACTGCGCCCTACACAAATGACTCCTCTCTGCATGAGTCAGGTGCCCCCAAGACTCTGGAAGCCACCTGCACCCCTCCGTCCTCCTAAGCATGATGGTTGTCCAAGTCTGCTAGCTAGCGCTGGCCTCTGCCCCCAATCTGTGGCAGGCACTAAAGGGCTTATTTGTGTGACCCCAAGGGCAGAGATTATTTGTGTGACCCCAAGGGCAGAGATTTTGTCCACGTTCATTCCATCCAGCCAAATAGTCACAAAAGGCTGATAGATATGAAATACAACTGACCTGCTGATATATAAAAAGCAAAAAACCACCAATGGGGTATACAACTTACCTTCAGAACATCTTGCTTGCATTTTTCTATTTTGTCTTGTAATTTCTTGAGCTGCTCTGGGTTCAGGGATGGGTCGGCTTTGCTGTTGGCTTCTCGAGAGATAGCCAGCTTCTCTTCTTTGCATGCCGTGTGGTGGGCTTTCTTTGCTGCCTCAACCTACAGGGAGAATGAGTTCTGAACACCGTGCTGCAGAAAGTTCTGGGTCTTCACCAGCCATTACACAGACTGGGCGAGTGTGTGCTGTCGAGAAGAAGGGGAAGGCAGAACACACCATGTGTACTCTCTTACTGCAGCCAGGCATGCTGAGCGACCTCGCTCTGTTAGGATTCACTGAGGACCTGCTCAGTGCCACACACAACTCTAGGCACCAGAACACAGCAGAGGACCAAGGAACCTGGGCTTTCATGAGCTCATGTTCAAGTTAGATGAGCCGAATGTAGGAATTACGTGCTGGAGGAAATTGGGCATTAAGTACTAGTGAGAGTAAAACAGGGAAGAGAGACAGCAAGAGCCAGGGATGGGCAGGCAGGGGTGGGCTGCACGAAGCCAGCTGAGATGTGTGGAGCAAAACCCAGGAGGAGCTTGCCAGGATAGTCAAGGTGGAGCAAGTTCCAAAGGAGAAAGCTCACAGGAGGGGCACGGGCCATGCCAGCTCCCCAGCAAAGTGCCAGGCCACACTTCCCATGGATTTTTAAAAATTTCTTTAAAAAAAACAAGGGCTGGGAAGATGGCTCAGTGGTAAAGCGCTTGCCTTCCATGCATGAGGCCCTGGGTTCGATTCCCCAGCACCACATAAGAAAAAAAAAAGCCAGAAGTGGCACTATAGAGCGCTAGCCTTGAGCTGAAGAGCTGAGGGACAGTGCCCAGGCCCAGAGTTCAGGCCCCATGACTGGACCCAAAAAAACAAAAAACAAAAAACAAATTGGTCATGCTGGTCTCAAATTTATGGGCACAAACAATCCTTCCACGTACTGGGACTACAGGCATATACCACCGTGTCTAGCTACATGATTTTTTTTTTTTTTGGTCCGGTCGTGGGGCCTGAACTCTGGGTCTGGGCGCTATCCCTCAGCTCTTCAGCTCAAGGCTAGCGCTCTACCACTTGAGCCACAGCGCCACT